AAGAAAAGTATTTAATTTTTTTATCTTTTGCCTTAGAATGGAAAACTCCTTTCTGCGGAAAAGAGCAGCTCAATTTTAGTGGATGACACCTACGTCTATCACCAGGGCACATACGTGTGTGATTATACCCCACCAGACCCTGCCAGCTTGAGTACCCTCAGAGACGTTGTTCAAGTGCTGACCATTGGTGAGTGGGATTCTTCTTATAAGAGTTGAGATCAAAACTCTACTGGACTAAATCAAATTATCTTCATTTGCCTTGTTGATTTTTTTTTCCTTTTAGGAAAACAAAGGGGATAGTCATACACTTGTAAACATTAAGGCTTTGAGTGTGGGCAAGCATCAATTTTCCCATCAACCCAGATCCCATTCCCTAAGGAAGGCCAAGTTCTGAACCATTCTCAAGATGACCCAAATTGGGTTATCCATTCATTTCTCCTTGATTTGCTTTGGTAATAAATTTGAAAGCACACTGAATGTGATGTGTTACACACAGAAGCTTTAAGCAATACCTGCACATCTATTACTAGTTTAATATGTGTGACCGTTTTTCCACATCCTTAAAATCTTCTTCTTTTTCTTTAAAGAAACAAAGCATTGTAACCACAGCTTGAGGTCTAAACCCTCATCCCCTGCCATGCTTTTCTTGTCCCTGTGAGGTCACTACCTTATAATTTATGTCCTTTGCATTGGTACTTATGCTGCATATGTATGCATCTGTTAATAGGATATTGCTTTGTGTTATAAAATGGTTTTTGTGTCATAAACCATTTTATTACCTTGGTGTAATTACACCAAGATATCATTTATCGCCCCCTCATCAGCAATGAACAGCTTCTCATTATTCACAAGTAATATTTAGTTTTATCAGAATTTTTTGGTTGGTATCAAGTGATGTTTCCTTTTGTTTTGTTTTTTTCTCCTGATTTATACTTCCCTGACTAATAATGAAGTTCAATATCTCATCTTATGTTCATTGCCCTGTTGGAGTTCTTCTGTGGCTTATCTATTTTTGCACCAAATTTCCACTTAGGTCATTCTTAACAGATCTGCAAAACTCAGCACCAATAAACTATAAGATATAATTCATTTAAAGATTGACCAATGTGCCTAAAGCATAACCAAGTCAGTCACTAATGCTTTGGACCCAAGATCTTCAGACCCATTGACTCAGCTCTTAGTAAAGACACCCATCCATTATACTTCCTCTACTTTCCCTGTAAGATAAAAGACACGTGGAGCTCACCAGGACCTCGTTAAACACTCTTGCCTATCCTTGGCCTTCCACCTACATCTACTTCAGATCTCTACCATTTTATTGTGTGTCAAATTTCTCCTTAGAAGAGAAGGTGGAGCCAGGTGCAGTGGCTCAGGCCTGTAATTCCAGTAATTCAGGAAGATCAAAAGTTCAAGATCAGCCTCAGCAACTTTGCAAAATTGCATCTCAAAATAAAAAGGGCTGGAGAGGTGGCTCACTGGGTGAGCATCCCTGATTTCAATCCCCAGAACCAAAAAACAAACAAACAAATAAATAAATAGTAAAAAAGCAACAACAACAACAATGAAGAGAAGTTGGCATGTAAAGATCCTACTTTAATCCCTCTCTCCTCCATGTGATGTATAAATGTTTCCACTCAGGCCTCAAATCACTCTTCCAAATTCTCCATGGCATAATCTATTTTTCTCTTTTCCAAAGGACACCTTACAATATGTGTGGTATCTATCTTAATCAAACTTTCTCTCATCCATCCTGTCTTCTCCATTAACTCATTCATTCTGATTTTCACTCATTCCCACACAAATACTTCTAATATGTGTCAGTCTTGGAACTAAGGATGCAAGAATGAGAACTTGGAGGCTTTCTCTGACTTCTGAAAATTGTATTGTTTCGTGGGGGGGGGGCAGATGGATAGGAAGAAGGAGACCAGAATACAAGGTAGTGGGAGGAGGGGAGCAGTAGGCATACAGGGGTGCTCACCACACCCAAACCTGGGTGAGCAGAGTCCAAATGAAACCTGAACAATGGGGTCCAACGAGTCCAACAGAAGTGGGAGAGGCACCCTTCCAAGCAGGGGGAGAAGCACATTTGATGTGTTTTAATGAGGGTTGGAAGTTCTTTAATGAGTCTGGAATTTATCCAAGAAACAATGGAGAGCCATTGGGGGAGTAAGTGGGAGGGTACCAGGAGCGGACACGCATTCAGGATTGGTCACTATGCCTGTTGTGTAGGAATTGGATTTTTGAGGACAGGAATGGGAGGCAGAGAGGAAAGTTCAGAGGCTGCAGTGAGCAAGTAAGGAATTGCTGAAGGGGACTCCCGTTGGCAGTGGCAGTGGGGATGGAGAAAAGTGGATGGACTCCGGAAACATTTAGAAGGCATATCTGAAAGGGTTTGGCAATTGAGAAGAAAGAGGAGAAAAAGAAGAGCCAAGGTCAGGGGGCCAAGCTTTAAGCTGGGCAGCTAGGTGTGTTTTCTGTAATCCCCTGAAGTTGGTCACGGGAGAGAAAGCAGCAATGCTGATTCATGTTCTTAAAAGATGCCTGTGATTCCTTAGAAAACTGGGAATGGAACCACCATTTGACCCAGCTATCCCACTCCTCAGTTTATACCCCAAGGACTTAAAAACAGCATACCACAGGGACGCAGCCACATCAAAGATGATAGCAACACAATTCACAATAGCTAAATCATGGAACCAACCCAGATGCCCTTCAATTGATGAATGGACAGGGAAACTGTGGTATACATACACAATGGAACATTATGCAGCATGAAAAGAGAAGAAAATCATGGCATCTGCAGGTAAATGGATGAAGTTGGAGAATATAAT